GCTCATGTCCCCAGGTGCCTCCCCCCAAAAACCTCCCAGGTCCAACAGAAACATCACGGGGATTTTGAGGAGGGAGCCCCCCTGCTTCCACAGGCAGCATTTAGGCCTGTTGCAGAACACCCCTCCGAACAACACCAGCCCTGATTAACCGCCTGAGCTAACCATCTAGCAGAAACCATAAATCTTCTTAAAATCCCACTCCTGTTCACTGACCATCCTGGATCTGACCTCACGTTTCTCACCCAGTGTGGCTGGAGCCGCAGTGACTTTTACAGGCAGAGATGAAGCAGTGGCAAAAGGCAGCGAGGTGAGAGAGAAAGAGGAAACCAAACCTACAGCAGAAAATGGCTTGGGCCACTTTGCATCCTGCTAATTTGAGTGGGTCCTGCTGTGATCACATTTGCATGGGGACGAACCAGCTGCAGCTATTGGAGAACATGGGATGCCCCATCGCTGTTCTGAAGAAGGGCTGCCTGGCTTTCAGGAATAAAGGCTGCTTTTTCCACCTCCTAATCTAGCTCAGATCAGGGGCCCAGTAATTAGTCTCCTATCTAGTGATTTACAGCTGATTTCCCCACGACTATAAACCCTCACTCTATCTGCTATTGCAGGCCAAAAGCAACAGATTATTCATCCTTCTTGAGCTAGAAATCTGTAGGGCAGTTTACTGGAGTGGGGATTGTAAATTGAGGCCTCAGCAAAGAGCAGAGAAAGCAGACCTGGCAAAGCTCCTGGCACTTTTCATGTGCTGTCAGAGGCTTTGGGGCTGGCGGGTGGGGCTTTGAGGCAACAAAGACTGAGGCAGGGTTCAAGCATGTGCTGCAGCTACTTGCAGCCTGGTGCGAAGGAGCAGGGATGGGGAAGGGAGGTGTGGGTCAGCTCCCCTCCCCTGGCTCCACGGCTCCCTGCACCAAACACAGCGCTGCTGAAAAACCCTGAAAGATCCTCAGCTGAAAACGAGTTGTGGATGACCTGCTCTGCTGACAGCCCACCAAGAGCTGCATTTTTATCTAGATGCCTTGGGGAACAGGGTGATGATTTGGGACACGCTAGCTGAAATCTGCTGTTGTTGCCCCGGGTTTAAAATAATGTCTGGGGCAACGTGAAGCTTAGCTGTGAGAAGCCAGCTCAGGAGGGATGCAGGTGGGTCTGAATAGCTACCTGCACTCAGGTACTCCCTTCGCTCCCAGGATGTCCCACGCTTGGTGAGGCGCTGCCCTGCAGCTCAGGTTGCTCACATGCTCTTGCAGATGAGGGGCTGGAAATGAACATTTTTCCCCTCCTCCACCTTCTCAGCCAACCTTGCATAATTTTCCCTTTAGCCTCCCTAGACAGGTTTGTTACAATTCCCCTCCATTAATATGCAAATATGCCCTAGAGGAAAAGAGAGCCTGGATTTATTAACATGAATCTGTTAACTCTTTCATTGCTGCAGTGCCCTTTGCAGACAGGAGGAAGCTTTCCCCAGCCTGGAAAGCTGTGAGAAAGCAAGATGCCACGAAAGGAGAACCGTAAGGTGCTGCATGAGGACAGAAGGGAGCCGTGACCCTGCAGCACCCTGGGAAGGCCGGGTTTTGTGGGTAAGCACAGACTTGCAAGTTGTTAAGACATTGATTCTGCCTTTCATTTCTGCCAAAGGCTTCCCGCGCATGCCAGGGCAAATCACTCAACCCTTCGGCGAGCCGCTGGGAGCTGCTGGGGGAAGGTGGCAGCATCCTTACGCTGCGCCCTGTGCCGAGGGTAGCGGGGACACAGCTCTGGCTGGGGGGAGCAGAGCCAGGAAAGCCTGGAGGAGCCCAGACGGCTTGCTGAGCTCAGCAGCTTACCAGCTGCCCCCAGCAGCCATCGCCCTCCCAGCGGGACTCGTGCTTCAGCACTTCTCTGGGCAGGAAGAGCCTTTAGATAGCCAAACAAATTGGTATCCGTTGGCTGGCAAATTTACAGCCTGGCTCTAATTTGGTTATTGCTGCCACAGTGAGATGAGGTGTAAATTCCTTTTTCTTAATTCAGGGTACATATTGACATTTAATCATCCAAATATGCATCTCCTTTGACAATTCATTTCCCTCTAGCCTCCTTCAGCAATTGCCTCTTCTGGCCAGGGCCCTATAAAAGATGATTCTTTGACTCCGCTGTGAAGGAAGTGAATCTCTCTCTCACTTTTCTTTCGGTTGTTTGTTTTCCAGAAGGATATATTTTAGTTTGTGCCATACGGATGCCGTTTGACAGGAATATTATCTTTCACGCTTCTCCAGGTTTGCAAAGTCAGGATATGAAGCCACACAGCCTTCTCCCGCCCCCATCCCTCCCCCTTTCCCCAGTCCTTTCCGCACCCCCTGCCCCTCCACCCCAGGCAATCGTGTTGCTTCTTTTGCCTTGCGGCTTCTGCAACTGCAAGCATTTCTGGCGGTTCTTGGTTGTCCCATCGTAACGCCCCCACAGACAAAGGTGACTAGATTTCCTTTCGAGCTAACTGCAAGGAGGGAGAGCCCTTTTTCCCTCCACTGGTGGATCCCGGCTGGGCGGCACTGACGTGGCCTGGTTCGGGCACTCTGCCCTTCGGGTTCAGCTTCTCCGCTGCCAGCTGTCTGTGAGCCGACATCCCCCCCGCAGCGCCGGCTCCAGCCGTGGCCAGCCAGGAACACAGCCGCGGGAACGGCTGGCGTGGGCACGCAATGGCGTTGCTGGCAGCCTGGCTGCGTGCAGTTTATTTTCCAGGAGGAAAGAGCCAAGAGCCTGCTCCCTCCACGCAGACAGCAGAAAGGGGATGCACGACGGGGAGAGGAGGGTTCAGGCACGTGGAAATGCTTGGAAATCGCCATCCGATGCATAGGCGCATGCATGGACATCCATCCGTGCTCCATCCCGAAATAACGTCCTCCATCAGTGCTCATGCAAACATCCAGGGACAGCAGCCCAAATCCCCCTCCTCTACCCACGCCAACGTTGCCTTCCTCTCACGCCTCAGACCAGTTTGGTCCATTCACAATGCTGGATGAGAAAGGGAAAGTTTAAGATGTCAGGCCCTGCCTCTGAAAACATTTGCTCCGTGCCCTTGGTCATCCAATTCTAGTGTAAAAGCTGGAGTGAATAGTGCAGAAGGCAATGAAGACAGCAGGCTAGCTCATCACCTGGTAGTGGCCAACATCTCCTGCCCAAGAGGAGCAACAAAACCAGTATGTTTAGGCATTTGAGTAAAACTTTGCAAGACGTTTTTGATGGTCCCACTTGAGTTCAAGTCATGTTGCTACGAGAGCATAATTTGTAATTAGTCTGAAATCAGATTCTCAGTTTGAGTTTTTTTGGTGTCTGGCAGCATTCTCTAAAGGAAGAAGCATGTCCCCAGCGTGTCGCTGGCCAGTCAGTCTGACTTACTTCAGTAGAAATAGGTTTATTCTTTCCTTGCGTCTGATACAGGTTGCAATGAGAGAAAATTAGCCTTCCACCCCTGTTGTATTAGGCAACAGGCTCGAATACATTCGCGGAGCGGGGTGTATTACACAAGTGGCAGCTACGTTTCCCCCAGAGCTAACTGGATTCAGCTCGGCTGGTGAAGGGTTGGCGGAGCACACGGGAGCCGGGGGGACAAAGATCGGGCTGACGCGGGTGGAGGGGAGAATCCAGCAGCGGCCGGGGAGCAGAGCGTAAGGGGGAGGGAGGCAGCGGCGGGACGCAGGGCTGTCACCAGCTGTCGGCCTCCAACGTGCGTGGCGGTGGGCCGGGCTCCTCCCAGGTTACCCTGCCTTGCCCAAATAACCTGGGCGCGCAGGGGAGCGGCGGTGAAGCTGCCTGGCCGAGCGCTGCCCTCTGTGGAAAGCAGGGCCGGGGTCCCACGGGCCTGGGCAACCTCCGTGGCCCTAAATCTCACACGGCGTGCAGGCCCGCAGGGGGGCTGCCCAGCGCCTTCAGGCCTCCGAAGCAGATTCCCCCCGGCCGGGCCGGGCCGGGCCGGTGTCTGTTGGCAGGAGATGCCCCGAGCACGGTCGCTGGTGGTGGGGCTTGCGGCACCGCTCTGGGCTGAAAGCAGCCCCAAAGCGGGGGGCTCCGGGTTGGAACCGCCTGCTCGGTGTGCGTGGGGGGGGTGGGGTGGTTCTGGGGAGACCCTCTCGGGGTCCCTCCAGGGCTGCGAGTCTGCTCGTTCGGCCTTTAGCCAGAACGGTGGCGCTCCTCCACGCGAGGGAGCAAACCGGCAGCCTCCCACGGGGCAGCCTCCCACGTGTTTTCAAGGTGCCGTGGCGTGCCGGGGGCGCAGCAGCGGATGAGCCGCCGTGCCCCCTCGGGCGGAACGCGGGGGGGGGGGGGGGGGGGGGGCGGGGGGGGAAGGGTGTTCCTGCCAGCCCCGCGCGCTGCGGCGCGCGCCCCACCGGCGCTCCGGGACAAAGGGACGGACGGCTGCAGCGCGCGCGCCGCTCTGGCAGTGCGCGCGCCGGTCCCTCCGCGCGCGCACACGCGTGCGCGGCCCCTGCCCCGCGTCCGCGAGGTGTGCCCGGCCCTTGCGCCCGCACCCGCGCGCGCGGGTGCCCTGCGGCGCGTGCAGAGCTGGAGGGGCTCCCGGCGGGGGGTTTGTGCGCGCGCGCGTGTGCGTGTGTCTGTGTGTGTGCGCGCGCGCGTGTGTCACAGCGCGCCCGGGGGCTGCCCCCGTGCCCCCGCGGTGACAAAGGCGGCCCGCGCCCCCTCCCCCCCCCCCCCCCCCCGCCGCTCTCTCCCATTCACAAACCGTGGAGAACATGGCCGGCTGCCGGAGAGGCGGGACTTTTTTTTTTTTTTTTTTTTTTTTTTTTTTTTGTGAATGGAGGCGGTGACGTCGCCCGCGCCCGCCCGCCGCCTTCCGTCCATTCATGCGGCCCCGGCGCGGGATGAATGGGCGGGGCGGAGGCGCGCGCCGGGCGCCGCCGGGTAGTAAAGGCGCCGCCGCGCGCGCGGGGCTGCGCGAGCGGCACCGGCACCGGCGCCGGGAGCGGGCGCAGGGCCCCGCCGCCGCTCCACACCCCCCCCCCCGCCGCCGCCGCCGCCTGCTCCTCACCCCCCGCCATGGTGGCCACCGAGGGGCTGCGGGAGATGGAGGGCAGCGCGCTGCGGCGGCTGGTGTGCCGCGACGAGGGCGGCGGCGGCGGCGGCGGCCCCGGTGGCCCCGGCGGCCCCGGTCCCGGCCGGTGCCTGGTGCTGGACTGCCGCCCGTTCCTGGCGCACAGCGCCGGGCACATCCGCGGGGCGCTCAACGTGCGCTGCAACACGATCGTGCGGCGGAGGGCCAAGGGGGTCGTCAGCCTGGAGCAGATCCTGCCGGCCGAGGGCGAGGTGCGGGCGCGGCTGCGCGCCGGGCTGTACGCCGCCGTGGTGGTGTACGACGAGCGGAGCCCACGCGCGGAGGCGCTGCGCGAGGACAGCACCGTGGCGCTGGTGGTGCGCGCGCTCCGCCGCGACACGGCGCGCGCCGACATCCGCCTCCTGGCAGGTACCGGGGGCGGCGGGGGGGTGCGTGGGATGGGGAGGTGGGTGAGTGGGGTGTTCCCCAGGACTGGTGGGGACCTGGCCGCGGGCGGCCCACGCCGCGGGGATGCGGGGATGGGGCTCCGGGCTGGCCGCGGCCCGTTCCCGCGCTCCCGCCGCCCGGCTGTCCTGCCAGAAGTTGGGTGCCGGGGGGAGGTTTGGGGGGGTGTTGGGGGCGCTGCTTTTGGCGGGGCGCACCCACCTGTGCGGCTGTGGCTCCCCCCCCCCCCCAACAATCCGGAGGTGAGATCCTGGGCCAGTGGGCAGCGCGGCCCTCCGCGCCACGCGTGGGTGGCCCGAGGGAAACGCGGGCTGAGCCGCCTCGGGCGGAGCGAGCGGTGGGGCAGGCCCCGTACCGCTGCCTGGGTCACGGCCGTGGGCTGGGGTGACGCGCAGACCCCGCGGCGGGGAGCGAGGGGCAAGGTGTGGACCCACTGGCAGAACCCACTCCGGGTGGCAGCAGGGCAGGGGGGGCCATGGGGGGGCTGGGATCCCCCCTCTTTGTCCGAGCTCATTCCCAGCCCCGCGGCGCAGGGGAGGTGTTGGTGCAGGACCAAATCCCTGGCGTCACGCCGATGCCCCTTCGCAGCGGGCAGGACACCCCGGGGGTGCCTCAGCGCCCCTGGGGGGACCACAGCAGCGAGCGGGGCTCTCCCCCCGTCTCCCCCCGCACCGGCGTGGGTCGAACGGGGTGCGGTGAACAGTTGGAGCTGCCGGTGGATGCTGAGAATTGCCGTGAGATGGTTTAGAGGAGGGATGGATGCTCAGCAGGGGTTCCTGGATGAGCTCTGTGGGGTTTTTTCTTTTTTTTTTTTGTTTACAGCCTGGGAGTTAATTTATTCCTTGGTTTACTTACAGCAGGGGTGAGGATGCGTATGCAGAGTAGCAGATCCATTAAGAGGCTTGATAGATGGAGGAGCTGGTGCTTCTGTCATACTAGATACAGTAAAAACAGCAGGAGCTCTTTCAGGGACGCCATACGATGCGCTGCTGCAGGAGTGCCTGCACACGCTTTTGGGTCCTTTGCCACGAGCCGTCGTGGTGCTGGGAGCCACGCGTGTGGCAGGAAACGCTGCTGAGCTTCAAGGGTGGCCTCTGTCAGCTGCGGGGGTCCGGTGCCCCTGTGGTTCCCGTGGGAGGTTGCTTGGGGTTTCCAGCCCTTTACTTCTGAGGAACGGGCTCCCAGAGACTCAGTCTGGGCGCTAGAGGCCTCTTCCTCTTCTAAAATGACTGAGCTCACTTGGGTTTCACAAGACCCACGCTAGCCCAGCACCGTGCCTGTCCAACATGCAAAGTTAGTGGGTGCAGGTCGTGACAAAGACCTGGATCTGTCTTGCGTGGATCAGACCGCTGCCGGGCTCCCTGTGAGACAGCCTGGGTGCTGTGTGGCACCGGGCAGGGCCCGCACCCACCGCTGATGGGGCTGCTGGAGGTGGTGCTTGGCTGGCCAGGCGTTAGAGCTGATGATATAACATTGAAGAGAAACACCTCTGACTGTTTGAAAGGGTTCCTTTCCCTTTCCAAGAGGGGACCCCACTTCCACGCATCACCCTGGGCAGCTTCGCCGTCTCAGGGTGGTGTGATAGCCACTGAAGTGGGGATGTGGTGGATCCAGGGATTTTCAGATCAGACCTCCCGAAGATGTCTTAACAGGGGGGCACTTGTTTTTGGGTGCCCCTCCAAATCGAACCAGCAGGAGTGCAAAGGGACATCAGGCCCTGGGAACGCAGCCTCTGCGAACTGTCCTGCTCACGTGGAAGGGACAATGCAAATTCAGTGATGCAGATGCAGTTTCTGCTTTAAGGTACTAGAGCCCTTCCTTGAAAAGGGGGTGGAAACCATGAAGGACACTGGGATGCTGGCAGTGTTGGTCTCTAACTGCCTAGGGATTCCTGGGCTGCTTTGCTGGAGATGCTTGCACCTCTGAATGTCCAGCCTTGTTTAGGGCAGTCTCAGAGCAAAGGCTGGATAAAGGAGCGTGTGTCTTGCTGTGTGTGCTCCAGCAAGCCCAAATCTGCAGGCAAAGGTCCTGCAGTTGGGTTGAGTCGTCAGGAGCTATCCTGGGAGTCAGGGCTTGCTCTAGCTAGATTTGTGGGGTGATAGTAAAATACCTGATTTCTGCTGGTTTTAACGCTCAAGGTCAGGGTTGTTGGTTTGATTTGAATGAGAGAAGGAAATCTCACCAGGAACGTTTCTCTGCAGCCAACGCTGCAGTTTCCCTGTCCTGGGAAGTCAATGGGGTTGGCTCTTGTTTTGCCTGCCCTTAGGAAAATCTGAGGTCACCTTTGCTTGTCCCCCTGGCAGCAGGTCAAAGGAGCAAGCTGCTCTTTGATGGGGTGCTCATCTCTGTTCAGCTTGCACCCACGTCCTCGAGAGGCAGTGGACACCTCTCTCTGGAGAGCAGCTTTGCCGTGTGGTTAGCTTCACTGGGCTAACCTTCCCTCTGGGCTGGAGGATCAGGCTGGGAAAGCGGGAGACCTCCCTGTGCTTTGTGGCTCCGGGAAAGCTGGGAAGCGAACAGTCGTCTTTGGCCTGGGAGCAGATTTTCCCAGTGAAGTCAGAGGATGCTGGCAACAAGTCCTTTCTTCATCATCTTAGAGAGCACCCTGGCCTTGGTCTGGGGTTTTGGCTGGTAGCGTGTAGGGGACTAAACCCTGGAATGGAGACTTTGGGTAGCCAAGAGCATGGCAGAGCTCGTGGAGCTCTAGCTCCAAGGGAGTGGTGGGGCCCCAGGGATTTCCCCCTTGCTGCCAGGAGCCAGGTTGCTCGTCCTGGGGCAGGAGACCACTCTCCACCCCTGTAGCAGCATCTAGCGGCAAAGGGCACTGTGAAATGCGTCTCCTCCTGCTATGCTGTTTTGCAGTGCTGTGAATGTAGCCGAGGATAACACTCTGTGCCTCTCTTTTTTTTTTTTCCAGGGGGTTATGAGCGTTTCTCCTCAGAGTACCCCGAATTCTGTGCAAAAACCAAGTCCCTGAATAATGTGTCACCCCCCACCAGCGCGGAGCCCCTGGATTTGGGCTGCAGTTCCTGTGGGACCCCTCTTCATGACCAGGTATGCCTAGAAGCCCGGTGCTCAGCTCTTTCGACCGCTCCTTCCAGCATCGCACCCTGGTCCTGCCGAAGTCTCTCTGCTCTCCCTCAGCTGAGGCCTGCAGAGCCAGAGCCCGGCTCCCTCTCCTCCCGTGGGACAGCAGGGTGCTATTCCTGATCCCAGGGTGTTTGTGCTCCCCAGGGAGTGGACAAGCCCAAATCCCATTAGCCATCCCTGCCCATTCCCGAGTGGGATGAAGAGCAGGAGGAGGACTGAAATGGGTGTAACAGCTCAGCAAGGCAGCCTCTGCTCCCTCTTCTGAGGTGCCAGGTTCCTGCACTGCTCGGCCCCTCCAAGCCATTTGGATGTGTCCCCTGCCCACTGCTGTCCCCCGGTCACCCCCGTATCTCTTGTTTTTTCTCCGTAACAGGGTGGTCCTGTGGAAATCCTTCCCTTCCTCTACCTTGGCAGCGCCTACCACGCCGCCCGGCGCGACATGCTTGATGCGCTGGGCATCACAGCCCTGCTGAACGTCTCCTCAGACTGCCCTAACCACTTCGAAGGGCACTACCAGTACAAGTGTATCCCGGTGGAGGATAACCACAAAGCTGACATCAGCTCCTGGTTCATGGAGGCGATCGAGTACATCGGTGAGTGCCTGTGCAGAGGAGCTGTGCCTGGCTGTTTCACGGGGGAGGCTCCTGCCTCGAAGCCCTGGAGCCTTTGGTTCAGGGGGGACTGGGGTCCAGCAGGGTCCAGGCCGGTTGTTGCACTGGCGGGAGGGAGGTCAGCCGCCACCCGCAGCTTTGGTGAGGGGTTTGGCTTTGTTGGAAGGGCGTCCACCTCACGTCTCCTCCCCTGTTGCCCTCCAGACTCTGTGAAGGAGTGTTGCGGCCGCGTCCTGGTCCACTGCCAGGCCGGTATCTCCCGCTCAGCCACCATCTGCTTGGCTTACCTGATGATGAAGAAGCGTGTCAAGCTGGAGGAGGCCTTCGAGTTCGTCAAGCAGCGCCGGAGCATCATCTCCCCGAACTTCAGCTTCATGGGGCAGCTGCTGCAGTTTGAGTCGCAGGTGTTGGCCACCTCATGCGCGGTGGAAGCCGTCAGCCCCTCGGGGACACTGCGGGAGCGGGGCAAGGCCACCTCCACCCCCACCTCCCAGTTTGTCTTCAGCTTCCCGGTCTCTGTCGGTGTCCATGCCACCCCCAGCAGCCTCCCCTACCTGCACAGCCCCATCACCACGTCACCCAGCTGTTAGCTCAGGGGCTGAGGCCGGCCGGGCAGACGGGGCCAGGCGGGCACGGAGCCCCGCGATGTTAAGCAATAGCGCTGGACACTGCCGTTCACCCTGGACTCAACGTCTTTTTTCGTAGAGAAATTTCTTACCTCATCTTGGTTTTTTTGCTTTTTAATTTTATGTTTTGAAAGCACGAAAGTTGTAAAAGCCACAAACCCTGACATTGTCCAGGCTCTTTGCGGGAGGGAAAAAATAGCATACTGGGTTTCCTTAAGTGCCTGGTTTTCATCTCTTTCCAACTCTATCTTATTGTCCCTTTTTTTTTTTTTAAAAAAAAAAAAAAAAGATAGACTTCCCCTTCTCCCTTTATTTCTGCCCGTAGCTCATCTGGGTTGAAAAGGGGAACATACAGTCTTTTTCTTGTGCAGCAGTCTTCCCCCTCACACCAACCGAGGTGGGGGCGTGGGGTGGGTGCTGCTTACCTGAGCCAGTTACAGGGGGTGACGAGCTGCAGGCAGGGCCTTGGGGCAAGCAGGACGGGTGGTGGCGCAGGGCTGCCGGCACCCCTGCCAGGGCCGGGGGAGGGGATGCTGCAGCTTTTGGTCCAAGCCTAGAACACGCCTCATCTTCAACCCACCTGGAGCCTTATTTCCCACCCTGCCTCTCTCCTACCTCCCCCTCGAGTCCAACACATGAGATGCCTGTGTGGCTGATGTACATATGTATGGTTTTGTTCCTTTTTTTTTTTTTTTTTTTTTAGAAATTAACTTTTTATTTATTGCCTGAGGGAGGGAGAAAACACAATGTTTGGAGAAAATAAAAATAAAACTGTTTTCAACAGTTGTGGCTGGCACAGGTTTGTCCTAAGACCAAGACAGAATAGCAGTTTGTGCAAACACTTAGCTTCCACAGAATACCTGTTAAAAATGTATTTATTGAATTTTAAACTATTACAAGTATTGCAGATCAGACATTTAGCCAAGCACATTTATAGATCAAACTCAGTTGTTACAGAGATGATACCTAAAGTCCACCATGTAGGTAGGCTGAGAACCTGCCCATCGTTTTCTTTGAAAAAGAGGGTAAAGGAGGAAATAAATAAATGATATCCCAGCTCCAGGTAATTGGCAACCAAGAGAGGAAACATACAGGGCTAGTTATGAAAACAAGATACAAGAAAAGGTCTAAAAACCTCAACCCCCAGGTACACTGCCATTGGGGTTGGCAGAGAAGGCAATTGGGAATGAAGATACACAAGCTCACAGGACTGTGGCACAGAAACATCCCAATTTCAATTTCCAAAGCTGAAGCAAGTTCTGCAGATGTTAAGAAAGTGTCAAAATTACCTTGTAATACAGACACTCCATTCAAACTACATTAGTAATTAATGGATCCAACACTAAAACTTGCCACCAACAGGTTCAGTAAGACAGAAATAGCTACATCAAACCCAGTCAGACAATACGACCTGACAGGCGTACGTGTTAGTGTAACGGGGAACACATCAGTTTCTCGCATTCCCTACCGACCCATGGGCGCACTCCCCTTGCTTCAGAAGTTCTAACACGCATATGCTGTCCCCTGACCTGCTAGATTTCACCTCTACTAGGTGTCCAGAGAGGTGGGAATGCTGCCACGCCACCTCTGCGCATGCATCCTGCCTCCCTCAAAGATCAGGAGAGCATGTTCTGGCCTGGGCCAAAGCCACCGCCTCTGACCATCAGTGGATTCAAGTCTAGGGGGGCTCACAAGCCACTCGCTACCCGTGGCTACAAGTGAATCTACTTCCCCACATCTTCCCCAGCAGGGCTGCAGCATGGCTTAAAACGACTGAAGCGTGCGTTTGATGCATCTCCTCTTAGATTTCTGAGCTAGATTTTTCTGTGGCAAAGCAGCATGGAAAGGGAGAAATCCCCTTAAAAATAAACTCACACACTTCCTGACCTTCAGATGCTGAGAATGATTAGCAACGTTCAAACTAATCTGCTCTGTGGTCGGACCCTTCCTTTTACCCATTGTTTGACAAAATAAACAAAACTGTTCTGAGTAATTTCTGTTAACAGTCCCATGTGGAAATTCTAGGTAGTGCATGTACTGTGCAGGAGCTCTGACTTCACTGCAGGGATGCTGGAGGGTTTTTTTTTTTTGAGATTTGCCACCAAGTAGCTCCCGCAGGCCACGCAGCGGCACGATATGTTAGCATCTCTCAGCACTTCATGCGGTCACAGGGAGCAAACATCTCTCACCTGCCACAAGCAGCAGGATCAGCTGGTTTCCAGAGCGAAGGAAGCGCCCTTCTCCAGAAGCTATTCAGTCTCATACACCATGTGCCTTTTCTGTGTCTGCTGCCCACCAAAGACAGCAGTGCGGAACAAGCTGGGGGGCTTGCTTTCTGCTTCAGTGTAGAATTTTGTTTTGGGGTATTTCCGTTATCAACAAGCAAAAGTATACAAAGTTTGCAGGCAAAAGAAATCCCAGCTGCATAATCCAGTGAGATTTGATCGCATCACAGGCAAACATTTAAAACGGAGGTTAGAAAAACATTCATTCCTTCGACTACAGACCAATAGTGACTGCAAAACAGTGGAACTAGTACAAGAGGTTTATAACAGTCTCCATGGAGCTGAGATCAGAACAGACTGGCAGATAAAAATAAAGATGAGAAAATAAGATACACCTTACTAAGGTACTGTACTCTCTGCTTTTAATCCTAATAGAAGTTTTGTTGACAGGATTCAGGCTGCAATGTCACTCTGCAGCAGGTACCTAATTCATCTGTCTCATGGAAACAATTTCAGCAATGGAGAGCAGAACCATCCTTTCTTTGCTACGTGGTGAAGTTTCTTTCTGTTTTGCCTGTTAAGGTCCTGTTGCAAACTGCACAGACGTTTCAAAATGCTGCCTCAAAGGGACACAGGGAAAAAAAAAAAAAAAAAAAATCAACAGGCCTGAAAGACAACTGTCCCTTTCCCCAGCAGACACCACGTTCTGTCCCAGTGGGGATAGCTCTTCCTGGAGCCAGTGAGAGGTGCCCAGGCTCCCAAGCCTATGGGATGGCTTAGCTCGGTGTGTTCTTGCATCCTCAGCTCCTGCCGTGCCTCCACTGGTGACCCAAAGCTGCAAATGAGCATCCCATTGTCAGGGGACTGCCCTTCTCAGGAAGTTGAAAAACTTCATTTCTCAGGAGGCAGCAGCTGCCTGGTTATGGGGGTGTGCTATTTTTAAAGGTCCTGTTCTCTAGAATTAGGAGACATCAAGTTAACTCCTTCGGCTAAAGCAGCAGCATCTGTACCGTAACAACCTGCCAAATGCAGCTCTGCCACCAAAACCACGACCAGCTTTTTCACGGGTAATTTCCATACTGATGGGCAAATCCTCACTTTGTTTTGAACTGTAAGAGGAGCTACAACAACATACACCAGGAGAGGTGGACGCTACTCCTGCACAGGTTCCTATGACACACAGATGCATCATCAGTCCTGGGTATTCCTCTGTGTCTGGCCACAAACAGATACGAGATCACGCCACTACAAGACAAAAACCACTGCAAAATGACTTCCTCACACAGCACCTTTACTCTGCATGGAACATCAGATACGTTAACACTGGCAGTTCAAAGATACTGGACAGTATTTTTATCCTCTAGAAGTTCAAGGCTGCAGAAGAAATCCAGACTAGCCATTAGTTCAATTAGCACACAGGAAACAAGCAGCAAGAACAGAATCTGGTGCAGGCTTGGTGGGGTTTTTGTTTCCAGGTTTGTTCTTGTCTTTGAAAGATGTAAAGCTTTTAACTTCCACACCCACATTAACGGTTTTGCTCACCTAAGCAGCACAACTGTTTTAACCATTTAAAACTATGTCTAACTGGGGATGGTGAGCAACACTCACTCTCAACACTATTTGAAACCCTAGTGTAGATAGGCACATCCCCCCACTCCATTATTAACTAAGTTAAAAACAAACCCCAAACTTAAATGATGAATACAAAGCTTCAAAGCCTAGTGGCGATCTGTGCAATCCTAACACTATTAAACAAGTAGCCAAAACACAAGCACCCAATTTTATCAATGAAATTTGATTAAAAGGACAACTAGGCTAGAGCCTGGCTTGGACTTCAAAGCTACGTATTTAATCAGGTCACAAAATGAAGCAAGAACCATATATCCACTGCCAGCTCAAGAAAAATAAAACCCAGAAGTTCAAGATCTGTTGGAGTATTGCTATTTCTAAGGTTTTCTTTAGAGATATCACAAACAGATGATGTGCAGGTAGCCAGATTGCATCAAACGACTGATTTTACAGTGGGTGAAATTCCTCCGTGAGGATAACTTGCTTCATCATTCACGTCTTCATGTTAAAAATGAAAATTTTGTGTCTTAACACTGGAAGTAAAAAGCTCTTCAAGTTTTTTTTTTTTATCCAAACATGTCAGCAAAATCCCACTTGTGGGGAGCACATACATTTTTATAAACTAAAAGCACCTATTCCGTCATTTCCTTGCTTTAAGGGGGATAAAACCTGAATGCATGGACTAGATCATCAGATACTGAATAGTGCTGGTTGACAGGGAAATGTACAGCGTGTTGTGCTCAAAGGAACACTTTTTCCTCCAGTCATTACACACTCAACACTGAAGCACATCTCCTGGTATTGGCTGTTAAGAAAAAAAACTAACACGGCTCGATTTTCAACCTTCTCTGAAGCTGTAAAAACAACACACACAAAGAAACAGCTTTCTACTTTTGTTAAATGGATATCCTCCATGAAGGGGACTTTCAAAATTGTTTGATGCTGTGCTATGCAATGCTTAAAAATAACTTTCTCCTACCCTGTGAAATAAACCTAGGAACTTGCAGGGAAGGGGATCAGTGTGAATAAATCCTAGCTTTGTTCTCTGGTATACCTGCAAACAAACCCCCTTACCAACTGATGTCTTAAAACTTTGTTTTCATCAAAATGTAAAATTGATATTTAAAAAAATTATTTTTGTAAATCCCTTAAACTCTTCAGCTGTGATGTCACACATGAAGATATGACATGAAACTGCTATAATACACTCTCCCCCTTACCAGACTGTAACCCATTTACTGGGTCTTATACTATAGAGAGACATGAACCAGATATGCCCCCGTATATGCAATCTCCTGACTTTTCACTTGCTCTCTTCCAGCAAAACCGTAACGCCACTGTAACTGGAGAACATTTCACAAACTGCACGTGCTTAATAGGAGCCTTATAAAACGTTCTCTTAGAGATGCCAGCAGAGGGCATTGACCTGCTTTATGAAGTTCTTCCAAGTACAAGAGCTGGTTTTACCCCTGCAAACACTTCCTACAGCTTCCCCCAGAAACCTCAAAGCAGCGAACTGACACAATCTGTTTCTACTCTAAAGTTACACTCACTCATCGTTTGCTCAGAGGTGTGCAAAAAAAATAAAACCCACCCTATATTGAAGAACTGGACCTAGCCCCTTCTCGGATGAAATTCATATTGCATTGTTAACAGCTTTAGTCAAATCGACTTTGTGCAAAATATCTTTAAGAAGGTTCTGGCTCAACTTCAGAATACAAAAGGAAAATAAATAGTTGACTAGGATCTCTTGAAAACATAAAATGAATGGTGTATGCTGAAAAGAAAATTATGGGCTTAATGCAATTTATCTGCATAAAATAACTAGAATAGTAGTGTCTGAAATTTTAACATGCGAGATGGCACTGATAAAGATATCCATTTGCACAATAATGTTCCCAAAGTCTAGATCAAAACAACATTATTTTACACATGGTAACTGCAGAGACTAGGAGCCTGAGATATGTTATTAAAAGGCAGTCCCTTGTAAACTTTCCTCAAAAGGAACAGTAGCAGTTCAGTATGCAAGAGTTACTCATATCGTATTCATCAAGACAGCAACGCTTTATAAAAGACATACAGCTTATTTCCAGGTTGTTAAGGATTTTATATGATACTGATTTTCTGAAACACGTATCCATCTAGTCCAAGACTGAAGTCACATCCTTCTTCACTGCTCTGTAGCTACTAGGTCTTTTGCTCTGCTGCTGTTGCTGTCTGTGAGGGAGCTTCTGGTTTCACAATCTGGTATGTAATGAGATATTCTGGGTATGCCTGAAAGTTAAGTCAAGAAGAAAAAAACAACATTGCTTTATGCAAGGGTATGCTCAGCAAGTTCACATTTTGATTTCACTAAACAGTGATCAGGAAGGACAGTGCAAGAATCAGCTCTATGTTTGCAGAGTGCAAAAGAAAAAGCAGATTTCAAACTTAGTCAGCACTAATTGGGAACTGCTCAATGGAGTTAATACCTTCGTTAATACTCTAGTAGAAAGATGTTTCTTCCATGCAGGCACTGTCAGAAAATGTGTGTGCAACTGGAATTCACTGCCAGAGTCACTCTCCTTGTTAGCTAATCCTACAGATCAGTCAGTGCCTGGAAGTTATTCAGAAATCTCAGATGACCAATGTAAGCTGACCCTAAAATGCTCACTGACCTGCCACATGACCTGCAAGTGCCTTCACTGGCAGTAAAATACTTGGCACACCCAAAGCACGTAACCCAGGTGTCTGTCCAGCATCTTCTCAAGACAGCTGGTAGAAGGTTCAGTCCCAGAACAAAGCTAAAGTTGCTGGAGGGCAGGGCCCCATTCAGAGGAACCTAGACAGATGGGAGGAGACCAGGCCAACAGAAGCCTCACGAAATCCAGCATGGGCAAATGCACCTGGGATGAACTAATTCCTCATAATACTGCAGGATGGGAAGTAGCTCTGCTGAAAGGTGCTGGGGGGCCCTTGGGTGACAGCAAGCTAAAGGAGAATCAACAGTATGTCCCAGCAGCAATAAAGGCTACCAGCATCCTGGGGTACATTGATGGCAGCATAGCAATGACAGCTGTTTATTCAGTACTCACTAGACCACATCTAAACAACTCCATGCAACTTCTGGGCCCTCCAATAACAAGAAAGATGGCAACAAGCTGAAGCCTAATTCAGTGAAGGACCACTAAAATAGTCAGAGGGAGAGAGAGCACGGGATAAACAAGAGAAGTCTGAGGGAGATGGGCTTCTTCAGAAAAGGGAAGGCTTTGTGGGACCTCATAGCAATCTTCCATCAGGTATGGAAGGCTACTGAGAAAACAGAGCCAGATTCTTTCCTAAACTGTGCAGCAGGAGAATGAGATTAATAAAACAGCGGAGGTTCCTACTGCATACAAAACCCACATTTTTTGCTCTGAGGATAACCAAAACAAAGGAACAAGCTGCTGAGAGAGGCTATGAAACACCATTCCTTGAGGCCGTCAAGACCTGCCTGGCCAAGGAAAGCCCTCAGCAATCTGGTTTGAATTCAGCATGAACGAGAGACTGGCCTAGGTGACCTCTCCAAGGTTCCTTCTAACCTGAATTTACTATACAATCTTGGAGCCATCCAGATTAGTAAGCAAACAACTTTTCTCGAGTAACGGTCTAGCTGAGTAATTCAGTTTAAAAATCACCTCCTGAAGATTGTTGTGCTACTTCAGCTGCCATTTAAGGGTAGTCTCTGGCAGACAGGGACACTATCTCTGTTGGGAATCTACAGGTGAAAGGCCCAGAATCTACATTATCTACAAGAGCCCCAGGAATGCACGTGTTCTTGTTACTGCAGTAATGCCAGTAAAATGCAGTGGGAAAACCAGTGGCCCCTGAGAGAAACTACAATTCTTAACAGACTCTACCAGTGCTGCAGAGGGGGGAATTAGGCAATTCTGTGTAGTGCAAATCAGAGCAGCTCAGTGGAAAGGAGTAGCATTTTCTGGCTTGATACGTTTAAATGAAAAAAAAAAAATCTAATCAACCCGGTTATCAAAGCACAATTGGTATGGAAACCAGTCACATCCACTCTCCAGCTCCAAGCTCTGCCCTTC